CGAAAAACGTCTGCGAGCTTCCAAAAAAAGATGCATTTATGTAGCTACCAACAAAATTTCAGATAAATCGATACCATAGGGTCCGAATAAACTGTACTCCCAGTTTGAAAAATGTGATTTTGAGAAAAACCTATTCATTTTACTCAGCGCACGCTCTGAAGGGTTGCGGTAAAGTAAAAAGTTCAGCTATTTGGAATGCTTTTTTTTTTTAGTTTAAAACCAATTGCATATCATTGCAAGGGCCCAAAGATACCGAAGATGTGAGCAAAAAGAAAAATTATTGCATTTTCCAAAATCCTAGAGCGAATTTACTCCTTAGTTCTAAAGAACTCAATCAAAGTTTATTTATTACTCAATAAATATTAATTTACTTCACTATACATAACTTATAATTTTTTAATTTCCACACTCAAAGAGTTTCCTCTATAACTGACTGTGATGTGTTGGCCGCTTGTTTTTAATGCCTCACTGACTGTTCGTACTCAGTTCTAGAAATTTCTGTCATGTTCTTACCAGAGAACGTAAATACAACGTACAATGTATAAATACAATGTATTTACGTTCTCTGACGTTTTCGCCACAATGCATTTCATGCATATTTATATATATATATATATATATATATATATGTATTTGCAGTCGAAACCAAATAACATTAAGAAAGCATAAATTCGATAACAAACACAACAAGCAGAGAATCAGAGAACGTAAATACAACGTACAACACAAAAGAATGCCGGCAAACTAGAATAAATTAAAAACTCATAAATCAGCTGGTAAACTCATCTGTCCGCGCTTCACCACTTTATGCACAAGAGAGCAGGCACGAGTCAAGAGAATTTTTGCTCTTAACACGTGATGACTTAACAGCCGTGAAGTGCCAAAATAAAAAAACACAAAATAAAGAGAATGATATTAAGTTAAACGCTCTTATACACGAATGTGCATAATAAGAGAGCGCAAAAAGGAAACCAGTTCTGAAGTTAAAGAATGCGATTTGGGAGCCAAACAAATAAAACTGTAATTGAAGGGTGGTTTTTGAAAGAGTCACAATATTTATATAATATTTATGGTATTTAATTAAATAGAAGCAGTTGTTGAGAGAGCAAAGTACAATGGTGAGGAGTTGCAGAAAATTGGAAAAATTAAATTTTGAATTCTTAAATTAATAAAAAGGGTGATTTTTTCAGAGCCATAGGGAAGTTTAAATAAAAAAATAATGTGAGGAAGACATGAAATCTTTATTTGAATCGATGGTACTGCCCACATAATCTAGGGTTTAAAGTTTATTTCACGCAAATGTTGACCGTGACCGCGCCTCAAATGGTCCATTCGCTTAGTCCAACTTTTGCATACTCTTTCCAACATATCGGCCGGTATCTCACAAATAAATGCTTCAATGTTGTCCTCCAATACGTCCATTGAAGCAGGCTTGTCTGTATAGACATTCGATTCAACATAGCAGCACCAAAAATAGTCTAAAGGCATTAAATCGCACGATCTAGGTGGCCAATTGACCGGTCCCGAACGTGCAATAAAATTTTCACCGAACTCGCCTCTCAATAAGTCCATTGTTACGCGTGCTGTGTTTCGTGTAGCACCGTGTTGTTGAAACCACATGTCATGCACGTCAAGCTCTTGCATTTTGGGCAAAAAAAAGTGTGATATCAACTCACGGTAGCGCTCAGCATTCGTAGTTACGTAACGATTCGCATCAACTTTGAAGAAGTACGATCCAGTGATGCCACCGGCCCATAAGCCACTTCAACCTGTGACTTTTTCTGGATGCATCGGTATCTCGTGTAATGCTTCAGGCTGATCTTGACTCCAAAATCGACAATTCTGCTTATTTATGCACCAAATAAGTCAAAAATGTGCTTCGTTGCTGAAAAGATATTTTTCGATAAAAAAAGCCCGCGACGAACTTTCTTAACAGAGCACACATTTTGACATTAAAATTCAATAATTTGCAAGCATTGTTCGTTTGTAAGACGATGCATGGTTAATATATGTATATATGGTTGGCAGTCATCATACTGCTTAAGCCAGTGTTGCCAAAAATATAATAGCTAAAAAATCACCCTTTATATTGTATATTTGCAAATATTTACCACCTTCAAGGACTGATCTAGTTTATCAGTGTTACCTCAAATCCACCACTGACAGATATTCACCATTTGGTAAGGCTTTGGAAAAGATTCAGTGACTTCCTCGTCGATTTGAAAAATGCCTTGCACTTCGTTCCTTGACCGCTATATTTGAGTTTAAAATGGAAAGTTTTGCGAAATATTTTTGGTCCTTTTCATACCAGCAGCAGCTATGACCCCAGATAAGAAAGCTATGATCGATACATATATACATACATATATGTATATATATATAGCTGTTACGTTGGCCAGACTACGTTTCTAGGCTAAAAACAAGTTTCAACATAAAACGCTCAGTGGTTGCCGTTGGAAGCAGTAGACACGAGAAAATTTCTATTTTTTATTTTCATTGATAATCGGCTTTTGGTGTCTATTGTAAATACCATTCTTCACCTCATCCATCCAAAGAAGCGAAGAATTCTCACTCCCTTTGGTTCCGCCAGCTGGTAATGCATCGAATGTCTTCAAAGCTAGGACATGAGCTATTGTAACCGCTGTCTCTCTATTCGGTGAATTACATTGCCCCATATCACGTTAATGTTGTTTTGTAAATCTTGTAAAGCGCAAAAGGACAATAAGTCTTCCGAAAAACTTTGCCCTTAAAAACTTCTTATGCTGCCGATCTATTCTGAGTTAGATTTCAAGGGTGATGGTATTACTCTATACAAAAAAATTATCTTCGACATTGATGTTAGGACTTTGAACGGTGACTTGGAGGCAAACATACCCAATCAAATTACAATTAGATATCTTTGCGTGGAAATGTGCAGCCAAATGACTCTCATATTCACACTCCGAACTCCTTAACTTGTTTTGTTATCGCGAATTTGTAAAATACAAAAGCCTCAGTCGCATACAGTTCAGTCCTCACAGAAGAGAACATTGCTGCTATGTTTAAGTGTGGCTTTCGCAAATGTTTAAAAAACAGGCTTTCGGTTAGTAGAACTTTGTGTAAAATACTCGTGTTTGCTTTGGCGCTCATAAGGCATATCTAGATAATCTGTGGCGAAGCTTGAGAGCCGAAGTAGAGTACAACTAATACTGGAATGGTAAGCCAGTGGTAACCCACGTCATAAAACGTAGTTGAAGGTGTGTAGATGTGTACTGGCTTTTAATACAGGTTACAAAACGGATGAGTGGTGCTTGCTGTAAAGCAACGGATACGGATTTTTCCTCTCTTTAATACAAACGAACCCAACAAGCAAACAACCCTGTCTAACTACATTTTTAACGCCTACACTCTGTACCCTTATCTACCACATGTTTCATTGCTACTGTCCTCTGTTGTTTTCTTGTTGTAGTAATTCTCTGCTTCACAGAGGTTGCGCATGTTTTTGCCCATTACTTTATGCTCACAAAACTCTGAAAACGCTGTTAGTGTTTTTCTTCGTGTAAATACATATGGTACACACGTGTATGAGAGTATCTTGTATCTCTGCTGCTCAATGAACGAAAATGCGTTTACAACACTGGGGTTGTTTGGTTAATTCGCAAATCGTGCGTTTCCTGCAAACTTCAACAACGCGAGACGTACATTAGTCGACAGTTAACAGACGCTGAAGTAACAGCCGCAATAGACCCGACAGCACCATTTAACAGACGCGAACCAACAGCCGAAAGTCGCCCCATCGCAGCACTAACCGCAGCAGCAGTAACAGCTTTTTTGACAATAACGGAGTAGGCGCGAGCCCATAGTCTATTACCGGCAGCCCACAAGCAACCATCGCTCCATCAGCAGCAGCAGCAGCGGCACCATCCTCAGCAGCAGACCCAAGTGGACGCAAGACAGAGATGAATCCGCCGCTGTTGGTAGCAGACGCAAGCCCATAATAGCAGGACCGACGGTGGCAGTGATTATGACGGCAACGTCGTTTGCAACCGACGCAAGCCGAAAGCCAGCAGATGACAATCACGTCACTAACAGTGGCAGCAATTGTGAGGTAGCCGGCCGCGCTCATTTGTTCTGGAGTCTTCTTCTGCCGACAGAGTCAGAGTCAAGTTTACTCCGTCGTCGTCAATTGCCTGCCAGTCAGTTTCAGTTTGGCAACGCACACAGTTGGACGTATTATTTCGGATAAGTGCGACTCTTGGCTACGAATGGCTCGTGTACTCAATTAAAGTAACAACAAAGAACATAATTTTGATCGTTTTTATTTGTTTTCGGTAAACAGAGATTTATTTGATAAATTACAAGTTTTTGTGTTGAGCTAAAGTGAAGTTGTGTGTGGAAAAAAAGAGCAACAACAACAAGAGCACAGTAATTTAATGGTTCGTCTAAATAGTGGTAGCAGCAGCCATTTGCCATTGAATTTAATTTACGCTGTTGTCTTATATATTTGTGTATGTGTGTTGGAAGGCAGCGGTAGCAAGCGTGAGTTGTAAAGTCAGTGTGCGAGCTAGCTAGCTAGTTGGCTAGCAGCAAAACAACATTTGAAATTACATTGGAACCGGTTTGTTTGTCTTTTCGGTGTTTGTGTTTTTTTTTTTTGTTTTGACTCTTTGTAGTGAGATTTTTAGCGGCTCGAAGCAGTCAAGCAGCCACCAAGCACCACTGCTGAACGTGTTTGAACGGTTTTGTGGAAATATTTTGTTTTCGGCTGCGCGTGTATGTTTGTGTGTGCAGCAAAAGAATGCAGTAAAGGCAAAAAACGTACATGCATACATATATTTGTACATATAACAATGTAAGCGGCAGAGAAAAAATATTGAAAAATTCCAAAGCAAAAGAGCCGTGCAACAAAAGTCGTATGTATCAAATTACATAAAGAAAAAATATGTATGGCGCTGCAAAAAAATTTAAATTAATAAATAAATAAATACGAATATTGTTAAAAAAAAATTTCAAAAAAAAAAAAAAACAAATATAAAAATATTTACATCAATTTTTAAAAACACAACAATACAGCGTTATAAGCAATTGGTGAAATAAATTAGAACTTTTATGTAACAAAATCAAAGTGCTTTTTGTATAAAAAAATAAAATATTAATGGTTAAAAAATTTTTATTTTTTAAAGTGATTTTTTATTGTGTATGATAAATATTTGTGGCATTAAAAGATAGATAGTTAAAATAGTCTAACATAACCAACCAGTCGAGCAGTTTACACTATATACATATGTACGTTCATATAGGTATGTAAATAAATGAATAGTCGACTTGTCTCGTCTACAACGTGGAATCGCAAGAAATCGTGAAACTTTGCAACATTTTTCGTTTGCATTTTTCACATTAAAAACAACAAAGTGATATGATTTTTTACTTGTGCACATACATAAATATGTGTGTACGTACATGCGACTCTCAACCGGATTTCTGGCTAAGAAAAAAGTAATATTAATGCAAATAAAATAAATAAACGCACCGAAGCAATTGTGCCACAATTTATCACGGTTCAACGGACAATATATAAAACAGCATCGCTATCTAATACATTGAAGTATACAAATTGAATAAATCTAGTGCATAAATTCAATACAACCATACATATATGTTTAAGCACAGCACGTTAGACGCCACGAGAAAGAAACGACACTCGACAAAACTCAGCAGACGCTGCCAACACAGCAGTACTGCCACATAAGCGTTGCCGGTCTGCATGCTGGCCGAACATGTGGTTGCGTTGAGGCGAAGGAAGCGGCGCAAATAATCCTGTAACAACAAGCAAGTGAACGCGCGAAGGACACCGCACAGCAAGAAAGTCAGCCAAGTAACGCAGACAAGAGACGTCGTCGCACGCGTGACACTAAAAACACTACACTAATACAAACAAACCTAAATACATAAGTGCACAGTTTACTGGCAACTAAGGTGCGGAAGTTAGAAACGCGCGCGAGGCGTAAATACGCTACAACTACATCCGTTACCGACGGTCCTGTTGCGTCGCACACGCGGAGTGTCGTTAAAAAGTAATAAAAAAAAACTAAAATAAAAAAACTAAAACAACAACAAGCCATTGTGCTGTAACAGCTAAGGGAAAGCGAAAAAACCGCCAAACGCAGTAAAAAAAGTGTTGCAAACTCACAGCAAGTGTCATCATCATCTTGGCCAACACCAGGTCGCAGTAGAGATCGTATTAAAAATTTCGCCTTCAAATATACGTACGCACATACCGACATTCAGAGTTGGTCCGGAAACCGCGAAAACTAAACTAATTTTCAGCTTACGCAAACGCTACCCCACAGAGACGCGCTTCAACACATTTTTCTTACTCAATGTTTCCGGCTGCCGCTGAGACTGCGAAAAACCGCAAAATACCGTGAATTTCAAAATCAACCAGCGCAAGCTAAGCTTAATTTAGTTGGTGCAAACGTGGAGTTAAGAGTTCGAAGTTTGAGCTGGAGCACCGCCCACGTCAAATAGGTGAAGGTGGCAAACCGCACAACTGGATACTACTTGCTCTGCTACTTGACGTTGAACTGTATAACAAAATGTGCTTAAAGAAACTTATATTAATAACAATAACAACAAAAGCAAATATTTAAGTAGAAAACTCGACTGGATACATATATGTATGTATGTATGTACTTATATTATAACGTCAACGACACTTGAAGTGTATAGCAATAGCGGTGTGATGGTGGTAGCAGCGTGACTAGAAGGACTCGTTATACGAGTTTGCTACTCATCTGCACACTTACCTATATATATGTACAAATGCACATACAAAGCTGCTTATAAAAATTTAATTTGGTTAGAATTTAGAAGTGCACACGCATAGAAAACTCTTCTAAGTTATTACTTTGAGTGCAACAAGACTTAAGTTTCTCCTTATCAACATTTGAGCTTGCATCCCCTCGAATCACCTTACCTATATGAACATTTACGCTCGTACGTTCGTGGTCATAATGTCACAATAACTGTCACCACTGTTTGCTTTGGTTAAATACGAACGAACGACCTAAAGCAAATAGCAAAGAGCTAGCGTGTGGTAGAGACCATCATAAACGCCTTCATTTAAGGACGTAATGTAACGTAAGAAAGGCAAACCCAACGACTCAAGTGCTGTGACTCCAAAACAAACAAAAAATAACCGACAAACACAGCTAACTCAAGTCAACTGCGCCCGAGCTAAGTGAGACTGCTACAACAGCAAAAAAAAAAAAATAAAATAAAAAATAAAATAAAAAAAAAATAAAAAAAGAAAAGTCATCGTCAGTGGGTGCTATTGCACTAAGTGTTCTCCTTTTTTTCAATTAAACGGAAATTGTGTTGAATTAGTGTGAGCCATAAAAAAGGCAGAAAAGAAAGTGGAAGTGGAAATAGTTGTATGAAATATATACACAAGTGCTTACGAGTAAAATAAAATAGTTCACTTTAGTATTAATTCTATGTGCCACCCTCTCATGCGTTTAAATAATCCTACATATATACATACATACTTGTACATATGTATGTACATACCAACATCTATGTGTTCGATATCCAACTGTGCGTAAATATTAGTTATATTATATAAAGAATCTTATACATAAATGCATATAATATGTATATACGTGTATGCATGTATAATTAAGAGTGAATTCTCTAACGAATAATACCATTAAACCATAAATATGCACATACATATTTACAAAAACGGAAATATATATTAAGAGTCAGCGTTTAAATATTACTAAAGTGTCTGTGCATTAACGTAAGTAAGTGTGTGTGTGTGTGTGTGTGATACTTGAGCGTTATTACCACCAAGTCGGTCAAACTCATTGTAGAGTTTTGAAGTGCTGAATTATAGCTACTTACATAAATACATACGTACATACATACGTGTGAAGAAATATATTTTTTCGCACGATACCACTGCGTCAGCAGGCAACTGCCTGGCACTAAGTCAGGTAGCCCAGCGGATAAGTTTCATAATGAAAATCTAATTTATACGCACCGGATTCGAGGAAAATCCATTTCTCCAGCATCAACCGATACGATTTGCTTATTTGCATCTTCTTCTTGTTTGTCGTTATTTTTTTCCGCGCTGGAAGAGCGAACGCCGCCAGCGTTCGGCGTGGATTGTGGATTTGCAGGTCAGTGAGAATAAAATGCAATTAAACTGTAATATTATTAATATGAGTTATTATATTGGTATGTATTTTTATGTGTTTGAGGATATAAATTAAGCCTAAGTGGTTATATTCGAAATATTGAGTTACCCATTGAATGTATATATGTATGCACTTAGGGGGCTTATTTAAGATATCCAAAGTTAAGAGTTCATTAGTGTCTATTATAAAGCCTTAAGTCTATTATAGATTTTAAAATACTTAGAAAGCTTTAGATCCACTGAGGTAGGCTCTTGGGTAATTTTTACCTTAAGATTTAATTTTTTCAAATTGAAATTTTACAACACAAAAACAAACTTGAGAGAGCCGTTTCTGAGATAGCACACAATTTCTTTTTTTTTTTCTTTTTTAATCTCTTGTTAATTCCATTTAACTTATTTACGTCAATACTGGCTACAAAAAATATTAAGTAGTATTTAAGTATTTTTAAAAAAATTTAAAAAAATGCATTTTGACTTGTCTCACGAGAAATGGAGTTTTCTAAAAAAATACCTTTTAAGAGAGTATTAACAAAAGTTCGGTAAGTTGACCAGAAAAAACAGAATTTTGTCTTTTTTGATCTTCTCTACAAAATAGCCATTGATTTCAATGCATTTCTTAAGCCTATAGATCCACTTTTGAGAACATCCGCCAAAATCTTGCTTTTTAAGTTTATCAAGTTCAGCAATAACCGCATTAATTATCTTCTTGTTGCTATTAAAGACCTTTCCTTTGAAATTTTTTGAATTTTTGAAAATAAACAGAAATCAGAAGGTGTCATATCCGTGGAATATGGTGCTGGAAGCATTTTTTTGTTCCCAGAGAACGCAATAAAATTACTCGTTATTTCAGCTGTATGAGATGATTCATTTGTCATGATGTAGAAAGTAGCGCCGCAAATCTTCTTTCTGTATTCCAACAAATTTTTGAAAACTTTTGTTAATCACTCTTCGGTGTGCCATTTTTCAGTTACTGTCTGACATTTTTCCAGTGGAGTAGCAGCTACGATTTTAGACCGGGTGAGGAAAACTGATGTCAATCCTTTTGTTGCTGATTGTTTTGCTTGATTTAACGGGTGAATATGCTCCTGTTGGGCTACACACCATGGACTGCAGTTTGGTTTCTGGATCGTACTAGTAGAACCGAGATTCGTCACCAGTACTGACTGTAAATCGCTCCGAACTCCGAAAAGAATCACAAAGGGAATTTTTGTTTGCTTTGGTGGTGGGATTTCGTCTGAGCTATCCTTACTTTTTTCTCATCTCCATTTTAGCCGAAAGGTTCTAAAATTTTAAAGAAATACTTATAAAGTGATTGAAAAGTATTTGGTATTTTTAGATTAGAGAAAAACAAATTGAAAGTCTCCAATTGACCGAACTTTTCCTATCCCCTTCGTATTAAAGAAAACACCTAAACCATTTAAGTAATAATAAAAATTATATGAAAAGGAAAGCATCAGGAATTTTGTTGTTGTTACCTCCAAAAAGTTCATTTTCATCTCCAAGTTTGACAATACAATTGTAGATGATTTAGGGCATTACATTTCGCCATAATTAAATACTAGTGACTTAAATATTGGCAAGTTTAATTTTAGATGGTATAGATGGTTTTTACGGAACAGAATTGGCGGGTGCTCTACTGGAGTTCACTACTCTATAATCGCAGAGGAAGTGTGCATTTCTTTCGTAGATTCCTTAACATTTTCTTACAAACTTCCGCCATCGGATTTATCTTTTTATGCTCAGCTAAATAATTCATTAAGTTTTATTGTATCGAAGATGAAAAAATTCCGGCTCAATTATTGTCTTGGGTCCATGATATACAAGGCATCATGGATGCAACATCATTCCAGTTTCTACTCGATTATGTTTTTCTGAGTTTTGAGAGAAAATGTACGAGCTTTGTCTGAACCAAATTGATTTAGTACGGAACAATTTTAATAAAATCTTGGATTTACCTTAATACACGTTTACAACGATTCAAAATTGTCTGTGTCTTACTCCGATCTTCTTGTTCTTCCAAAGAATATATATGATCCTGCTTTGGAGATACATTTGAAATCATAGATAGTTATAGAGTCAATAAAGTGTGATATCTTTCTGATCCTTGTGCCCGTTTCAATCTCGCTGAAACTAACTTAAAAAAGTTAAATCATCAGCTGTCCAAATTCATTTGGCTACACTCTTATGGTATTATTGAGAAAAGTGTTCTTCATTTTAACAATACAATTTTAAAATTATTTGAAAATTTTGTACCCAAAATTGCTGATTTAGCTTTAACCAATTGTACTAATTTTTGGTTCACAAATGTATTAGGTCTTTAAAAAAACCCGAAAGTCTCGCGCTTTTAAACAGTGCAAGATAAAAAGCTTCCATTTAGACTGCATTAAATGCTCTAAGTTGACTGACAACTTAACAACGATTACTTAATTTAGATAAAAGAATATTGTACGTAATCCTAAAATGTTTTATGATTTCGTTAACTCCAAAAGCAGAACCTCTTTATTTCCCTCCGCCACGATATGCAAAACTACAAAATTTATTAATCTCAAACATGTTTGTTCAATTTTAAAGTCTAATTACTCTACTAATTCACGTATAAGCAACTTTTTCTATCAGGAATATTTTTTATCTGTAAACTTCAATTGAAACCTTAATAGTTTCTCTCGAAATTGTGTTATGTTAGTTGAAGGCTTTAAAGAGTTATTTCAGTTATGGGCCTAACACTTTTCCAAAGCGCTTTCTTAAATATTACGGCGAAAATGTGTACCAGATTTAAACGAACCTTTTTAATGCATCTCTAAAGCAAGGTATTTTTTTCGTTTGTTATGAAAAAATTTGTATATAATTCCTTTGCCTAAAAATGATTAAATATCTTTTAATGAAAATTATAACGAACTTTCTCCATGTATCCATTACTTTCCAGTTCCCATAATGAATTCGGCAAAAAGAAATTTATGTTATTAATTTTCTTGAATTTATTACTCATGTGCCGAATGGATTAAGGGTAAACAAGAACAACGATGTTTATATAATGATTAATGAGGAATTTTTTAAAGTAAACCATAAAATTTTTACTAAAAAAGGTAGATCTTCTTGGATCTCAAACCAGATTTATCTCTGAGACAGAACGCAAAGATTATTATTTGGTACAATCCAAGCCATATTTGGAACAAATAAAAAGAGAGAGCATGAGGTATTAGAAAAATTTAAAATTTTTCTCATTTAATTCGCCTTTAGATTAAATTATCTTTCAGATTTGTAGCCTTTGTCCCCTCATAGGTTTTCAGGCAATATTGCGGTAGTGATAGTTCTTGAACGGATAAAAATCCAAATCGTTTATTGGATTTCAGTGGCCCGCATCTATCAGAAGAGTATTGCTTCATGCCTCTTAAGAGTCTATGAGTAATCTTTACATATTTGATCTGTTTCTTTCGCTCTGCTTATAATGTTTCGGTGTTACCAAAAACTTAGCAAATGGAAACAGCGCTTTTGGCTTTTCTTTAAAATTATGTAGAATCAATTGAACTAACCAATTTATTTTGCATTTTATGATAAATTAATGTTAATTCCTTAAGCTGGCTTCAAGCTATATACGAGTATTTAGACTTGGCAGTATGATTCATATTTCTTTTAGCTCTCTTTGTTTCAATTCTATTGTAATAAAATGAAAAAAAAAAATGACTCATCGGAATTTGTTTTGCGGCTTGAAGGCATGAAATTTTAACTATTTGTTGAGAAAACAACAAGAAACAAAAAAAAAATCAAAGCATTGTTATTCGAAGGCGTGAAAGTTGAGCACATACATATGTACATAACAAAGAAAATAATAATCAAACAATTATCGGTAAAGTGTCGACAAGCCATTACCGAGTTTTGTTGAGTAATTTTGTGTTAACATAAAGGAGCGCCAAGGTGGTCTGATTGCCCTTTCTGTGATTCTTCTCTTACTCTTTTCATAAATTCTCCAATGGGATAGTATTTTGTTAGATGGTTTTATAGATGAACACTGCACTCAAAGATCATTTGACTTGGTTACAAACTTTACTCCTGATGGTTTGTAAAAAATTAGAAATTTTATTTAAAAAAATACTTGAAATAAAGGGTGCTCCATCTTTTATGTCGGTGTATAAACATTGAACAGCTTTGAGTAAAAACAACCGATTCCTATAAGTGATTTATTCTTATTCAGTTTTGCTCCTTACATTTTTTTTTGACTAGTTTATTGTAAAAAATATCAAAATTACTCCTTTTTTCTGCGTTTGTTATTACCTTTCCGAGCATCTCGCGTTTATAGCGTCGGTTTCAGCACGATTGTTTGCCTTGGGCCCATCAATATTTTGAGGCCGGTTGGCGTAAACCTTGCTTTTCAGATAATCCCACAAAAAAAAGTCCGCGCGGGGGGTTAACTCAGATGATCTGTCAGATGGTGCTTTTTTGCCGCGACATTTTTTCCGATATGCACGTTGAGTTAATACAACGGACGGACTGTTTTCGATGCAAAGTGTCACTATTTCAGCGCGTTGTTTCAGTTTGAAGCGATCCATGGCAAAAACTGTATTCAATTGACGTTTCCAAAACATATCTGATGCAATCGCTTGGTTGGTAAAAGATGGAGCACCCTGTACCTACCTGCCTATTACTCATTTTATTATGAAATATGTCATTATAATTTTACTTACAACTAAACGAATAAAAAAATTTTCATATTAATTTTCTACACAGACACATATTTTTTGATTAGTTATAGTGAAATAGAAAGGCAACAACATACAAAAAAATGCGTATAAACATCTGGAGCTCTTAAAATTAACCACTATTAGGTTTATCTATAATTAAAATCTAAATAACGTCATAAAACAGCGGTTATGTTGAGGCTGTTTAGTACAAGAAATAGGAAACGGTGGTGTTTCTTAGGAACAATAAAATTTGAATTCGTACATACTCGTACATACATAGTTTAAAATATGTTCTTTTTTCCTTACT